TTTTTTTTTTTTTTTTTTTCAACGTTTATTTATTTTTGGGACAGAGAGAGACAGAGCATGAATGGGGGAGGGGGCAGAGAGAGAGGGAGACACAGAATCGGAAACAGGCTCCAGGCTCTGAGCCATCAGCCCAGCGCCTGACGCGGGGCTCGAACTCACGGACCGCGAGATCGTGACCTGGCTGAAGTCGGACGCTTAACCGACTGCGCCACCCAGGCGCCCCAAGCTTTACTTTCTTAAAAGTCCATTTTGTTTGACAATTTTATGAAACCTTGAGAAATTCTTAATTTAGAACTAGTATGCCTACAAATTGTATTAAGTGATAATACCTTGAATTTTTAATTAAAAAAATCAGAACTCTAGACAGCCTAATATTAAACCTATTTTTCATAGGATTCGTTAAAATTATTTTTAAAAACTAAAATCTTAGGCCAAAATATGGTATTCTTAGCTATGCTTGATTTAGTAGCAAAACTAATATCTTTATGTCCTGTTGATGAATTTTATTTAGGGAATTTAAACAGTTTTTAAGCAAAGATTTGAATGTCAAAGTAACAAATATCGTAAGAAAAGCTTCCCTATGTTTGATCTTTTTGGAAAATACCGTTTTAGCTCTTGACATCGAGGTGCCTTTCTGTGGTCGTGTCCGTCTTGGTGTCTCGATGGGCTGCCCGCCCCCCCCCCCAGCCCCCACCCCCCGGTTCCCTCGTTTATGGAATTCGGTGATGTGCTTTGTAATTTAGGTTTCCACCTAAGAATCAGATCCGTGTATTTAATTTTAGCCACGGACACAGCTGTTAGTGCTGCATTCTAGAACATTTCTTGTCCCAAACTTTAATTCCCAGACTGTTTTCTTTTTTCCAGTCGGTCTTCTGAACCTTTGTTTGAAATGTAAACATAACTCGGTTGGTAGCGTCATCAGAGAACGAATTCTCTTCGTCGTCATTTTTGTCCCGCGATGTGACTCTGCCACGTGTAAAATGCGTCTCGGCCGTCGGAGCAGTGGCCACTCACAGGAGCTGATGGGCACAGGAGCCGCCGCCGGCCGTCCCTCCCTCCGCCCCAGCTCTCGTGCTCCGTCCGGTCTTGCCGCCCAGCCGCCTACCGTCCGTCTCCTCTCGTGAAGCATTTTCACTCATGTGAAGGCTCGAGTGTTGCCCCACAGACGGTCGTGGTTTCCTTTCGTGGTGTTGGTGGGGCGGTGGGGTCGGGACGCTGGTGCACCGCCCTGTGGGTGAGCACCTGTCTTTGTGTCTGTGAATTCTGTGCTCGTTTCCAAAGGCTCTTTGTTTTACTTGTTAGTCTGATTGGTGTCCCTTTCCACGGAGGCTGACGTTTTTGTCACTGGTGGAAAGTTTGGAGTCTTTTCTTGGCCCATAAGTATATTGTCCAGTTACGTATTTGTCCTCGAAGTGATGTTTCTTGTTTTTAATGTTTGCCCACTTAGAAAAGTAACACTAGAATGTCGGTTGGTAATCTTTCGAAGTGTCGCTTTGAGGTTTTGCTGACCTAGTTTGTTTTAGGCGTCCGCGCAATTGCTGTTTTTAAGCGTATGGCTAAACCCCGAGTGACGCACGTTGTAAAGATTCTTGACCGAGGGGGTTTTAAACACCTATTCAGTCATTGATTCTGAATCGATGTACTGGGTGAATGCTGGTATTTCAGGGTAGCCACTTCAATACCAAGTGCTTTGGCTGCTGAATCATTTCTCAGGGACTCTAGTTTGAATTAAAACTAAACATTATGTTTAAAAAAAAGACTGCTGATGAGTTTCAAGTAGTCCTCTGAGCAATCACGTTCGTTTTTAGGTTTTGATTTCCATCTGTGCTTACTGTGCAGTGACAGTGCCGTGCAGGTAGGTCCCAGGGAGCTCTGTGCCCGTGGAGCACGCGTGTGGTATCAGGTGCTGCTGATTGACAACGTCCTGGA